TCAAGTAGTCATCACTCTGCTGTGAGACTCTGAGATCTTCTCAAAATTTGCTCTCAAAGTCTGCTACCTGGAGTGCAGCCATTTGATGTTCAATCACATCCACTGGAATATCATGAAAACTGTTCCACAAATGATATTCATGAACCATCAAATGTGCAGCATGAATAGTCTTCCTACTTAAGGCGTTAGCTACCACGTTAGCCTTACCCGGATGGTAATGTAATTCAAAGTCATAATCCTTCAAAAATTCATCCATCGTCGCTGCCTCATATTAAGCTCTTTCTGATCAAATAAATACTTCAGGCTCTTATGGTCATTGAAGATTTGAAACTTAGATCCATACAAGTAGTGTCTCCATATCTTCAGAGCAAACACAACTGCAGCCAACTCCAAGTCATGTGTAGGGTAATTTTCCTCGTGTGGCCTCAGCTGTCTAGAGGAATAGGCAACCACTCGGTCATCTTGCATCAAAACACATCCTAAACCCTTTAAAGAAGCATCAGTGTACAGAGTGTACGGCACCACAGGGTCAGGAATAGTCAATACTGGAGTAGTGGTTAACCTCTTTTTCAATTCTTGGAAAGCAGCTTCACATTTGTCAGTCCAAATAAATGGGGCATCCTTTTTAGTCAGCTTAGTCAAGGGCATCGCAATTTGTGAAAATCCCTTAATAAAGCGACGATAATAACCTGCTAAACCTAGAAAGCTTCGTATCTCCGTCACAGATTTTGGCTGTTCCCACTTCATCACTGCATCAATCTTGCTAGGATCCACCCAACTCCATCTCTGGACACAATATGGCCCAAAAAATTTACTTCTTGGAGCCAAAATTCACACTTACTTAATTTGGCAAGCTTATTTTCCCTCAAAACTTGCAAGACGATTCTTAAATGCTCACCATGAGCCTCCTCATCCTTTGAATAAATAAGAATGTCATCAATAAAGACTACTACAAACTTATCTAAATAGGGTCGAAAGATCCTACTCATGTAATCCATGAACACCGCAGGAGCATTCGTAAGTCAAACGGCATCACCATGAATTCATAATGCCCATATCTCGTCCGAAATGCTGTCTTAGGTATATCCTCGCTCTTACTCTCAATTGGTGGTACCCTGACCTTAAGTCAATCTTTGAGAAAACTGCGGATCCCACAAGCTGATCCAACAAATCATTGATTCTCGAAAGTGGATATTTGTTCTTGATGGTTACTTTGTTCAATTGTTTATAATCAATGCACAATCGGAGGCTTCCGTCCTTCTCCTTTACAAAAAGGACTAGAGATCCCCAAGGTGAAAACACTCAGTCTGATGAAACCCTTCTCAAGTAGCTCTTCAATTTGCTTTTTCAGTTCTGCTAAACTTGAAGGGGACATCCAATAAGGAGCCTTAGAAATTGGCCCTGTACCGAGTACCAATTCAATTGAGAACTCTACCTCACGCTTTGGGGGTAAACCGGAGACTCGTCTGGAAATACATCCGCATTCTTTGACAATTGGGATATTCTTCACGCCTTCATCAATCTCAGTTTGGATAGAGAAGAAAAACCATGTAGGCCTGGCAACCCTTCTTCATACATCTATCAACTTGCGCCGCCGACAAGAAAACATGATCTTGAGTCTCGACTGGGGTCATCGACAAAGAAGATAAAGACACACTCCTCTCTCTACAATCTAGGATAGCACCATTTGCAGCCATCCAATTCATTCCCACAATTACATCCATACCTCTCAGTGGTAGGATAATTAAGTCCATAGTTGTTTTCCTATTTTTAAACTCGACCACTAGGTTAAGGCATGTCTTAGTAGTCCTCACAGATTCTCCCGCAGGAGTAGACACATTCATATCAAAAGGTAAAATACACACAGGCAAATCAAGGTTCTTTACACAAGTTTCAAAAATAAAAGAGTGTATAGCACCCGAATCAAATAATGCAACAATATCATGATGAAGGATTTTGATGTTACCTCTAATGGCATCTGGGGAGTTCATGGTGTCCTGAGTAAGAGCAAACACACGGCCAGAGACAGTAGGATGTTGGGAAGGGTTCTTCATATTTGAGCCCCGGTTGTCCCCACAAAACTTTACAATGTGATCGGGTTTCCCACAAATGTAACAGACCCAGCACTGTCCGAAATGACGACGCCCGCATTTAGTGCACTGTTGAAAGCTCGCTGTACTCGGGGCAGGGGTAGATACTGTTGGGCTCCTCTGTGACCCCTGATAACTACTATGATAGCTCCTCTGTCCTTGATCCCTTTGAAATAGACCCTTCTGCCTTCCTTGGTTCCATGAGCTACTCGAACCCTGATGGTTTTTCTTCATAATGCCTCTGGTGGGTCGAGGGTAGGTTGGGGGTCTACTATATGAATAACCCCTCTTCTCTCTCTCGACCTCCTTCTTACTACGAGCTACTACTTGTAGTTTTATGCATATTTCGTCATAATCTCGAATATCTAGATGAGCCAATTGCTCCCTTAATTCTGGTCTAGCCTTCTCCAATAACCACTTGGCCTTCCATTCAGAATCATCCCTATACTGCAGGTACATGGAGTATCTAGATAACTCCTGAAACTTAGCAATGAATGTGTCCTCATCGAGGTTCCCTTGCTTAAAGGCATGGAACTCCGCTTCCTTCTCAGACCTTAACTCTGCTGGAAAGTAATGCCTAAATAATTTTTCCTTAAATTCCTCCCAGGTGAGTGTAGAATCATCCCTGGGCCCTGCTGTCTCCTACCAATCTCTTGCTCCTTTCACTAGGAGCACTAATGCTACTTGTACTTTCTGATTGCTGGTGCATGTGACTACTCGAAAGATGGACTCGAGTCTCTTCACCCATTCCTCTACCACGAATGGTTTAAGGTTACCATCAAATGTAGGAGGGTTAAACTTCATAATAGTTTCTCACACATCAGTAATGGTCGGTGGGGCTCTCTGTTCCTCCTGCTTAATTTCCTCCCTTCTAGACTCATGATCTCTCGGAGTGGCAGGATGTGAGAAACTGCCTTCCCCCACATAACTCTCAACATGAGCCCTATCTCCATTTTCAGTTACCTTTTGCTTCTTTAGCTCCGTCAACTCTTGTTCGTATCCTTGAACCTTGTCTGTTAATGTTTTCACAAGCTTTCTCAATTCCGCCAAGTCAGGCTCCTCATTTGGCAGTGGCGGTGGCAGGTGCTCATGTTGGAATCCTGAGTTACCGCGAGTAACAGGCATTTTCTCTTCCCTCCTAAAGGATACAAGATATAAATAATAAAATTAGCCTAGCTATATAATGGCCATACAATGAAAAGCACCATAACAATGTATATTGCCAACCGACTATATGCAATGCACCACACATAATAAATACATATTAAATTCACACAAATAATAGTTTCAAACAAAAGTTTAAATAAGTGTTACTAAAATATAGGCTCGAAACCTGATGCTCTGATACCAATATGTAACAACTTCAAATTTACAAACCGATTTTTCACAAATTATTAATTCAATAAATCATTTTTTTTCATTGAACCCTCATCATACCCTTATCATGGTAGAAAAATTTCTACCATGGTACATCCAATACAATATACCACAGGTCTTAAAATATCTCAAAAAGCAATTAGAACTAGGGGTGTTCAAGATGTACCCGGCCCGACTGACCCGTACCGGCCCGTGCTCGTCCCGATCATATTGGGACGGGTCTGTCCCGGCCCAAAAAAATTCGAGACGGGACTTTTATGGGACAGGGCCAAAATAGGGACGGGACGGGACTCGGGCCAGCCATCGGGACATCCCGTCCCGTCCCGTTTATATTCAGCATATAATTATATATATATATATATATTAATTTTAACTATTATTTATTTATTTTAATTAAACTGATTTTTAATGGCATTTTTTAATTTTCAGGACAGCTAAGACACACCACGCATGCGATAGATTTCAGTTTCCAGATCCACTTTCCAGATCCAGACTTCGGTTTCCACTTTCCACTTTCTAGATCTCCCTTTCAAAGCTCCAGCCTCCAGCTCCAAGCCTCCAACCCTCAATCGCAATCGCAGTCTCGCAGATCAATCGTAGTATCGCACAGCTCAGCAGAGCAAACCTTCAATTTCGGTTTCGCACAGCACAGCTCCACACATTCCTCCCTGAATCTCATTTCTGAACTGTTATTATTCCCTTCGCACAGCAACGCTTTCTCTGTTCATGTCTTCCAGTTCCACATCTTCGTAACCTCGAAGACGAGAGCTGCACAAGTGTTATTATTCCCTTCGCATAGCTTCGCCTTCATGCTCGCGCCTCCTTCTCCACCTCCACATGATGCAGCTAAAAGGTATTTATTGTAAGGTTATTTGACGTAGCTGCAAGGTTATTCTCTTCTACCCAGATCTGGTGCTACCTCAAATCCATCATTCTCTTCTACTCAGATCTGCAAGGAGTCCTCAAATCTGGTGCGTTTTATTGCTCATTTATTGTCTTGTTGAATGCTGAGAAATAAATTAATAGGGATGAGATGATTGAGCTTATGTTTGGTATTTCGAGTTGATAAATCAATGCCCATGTATATCCTCTTCTGTTCTGTGTATGAGATTTTACGGTTCTATTGGTAAAGAAAAATACTATTTATATTTGAAATATATATGCCCATGTATATACTATTTATATTTGTAGATTGACAAAAGTAGATACTTCATTACAAATGTAGTATATATATCCATGTTTTAATTAACTTGATTATATTAATTTACGTGTTAGAATTCTATTTAACAAGAACAAGAAGTGGTGATGCTTCCAACCGAACCTGTTACATGCACAATTTTATTTGCATCCTCTGGATTAAGTAAAACAAATATTAACCATATAGATTATTTAAGTATTTGGTTACATGATTTAGATTGAAATTTAATGCCCTTGATTTTTATGCATTCCTATTTGAATATTTAATATGACGTTTTAATTAGTTAAGGGTAATTGTTGTTGTTGCTGTTGGCCAAATCTACAGTGCAAAAAAAAATGGCCACTACACCCACCCTTCAAGAAAATGTAGAAACAAAAAATGCTTCATCACCTAATAATACTGAAGAGGAAAATGAGTCAAAGAATGAAGGAGAAAGTAGAAGAAAGAGACATAAATCAGCTGTTTGGGCGCATTTTGAAAGGTTGCCGTTGGACAAAACTAATGGAGAACCCCGTGCTAAGTGTAAGTACTGCCCAATGACAATTGGTTGTGACTCTACAAGACATGGGACAAATGGAATGAGAAAACATGTAAAAAGATATCCTAGAAATCCGAACAAAGCAAACAAGTTGGCACAGTCTTTGCTATCAGGCTCTCAATTAGGGTCATCTAAAACTTTGAGCCATCATCTATTTAATCAACTCGATTGCAGACAAGCCATTGCTATATTTGTGATATTGGATGAAATGCCTTTTAATGTTGTGGAAGGTGATGGTTTTAAAGAGATGATGAGAAGGCTAGAACCTCGCTTTCAAGTCCCTTCAAGAGCGACAGTTACTAGAGATTGCTACAAGTTATACCTTGAAGAAGCTAGAAAGTTGAAAAGGTATTTTAAAAAATCTCAAATCCGTGTTTCTCTCACTACCGATACTTGGACTTCCAATCAAAATGCCAGTTATATGTGCTTAACTGCTCATTGGATTGATGAGCATTGGACATATCAAAAGTGAATCTTGAATTTTTGTGTAGTTGAAAATCATAAGGGAGAAACAATTGCTCAAGAAATTAAGAAATGCTTGCTGTTTTGGAGCATTGATAAGGTGTTTACAATCACGGTTGATAATGCTTCTTCTAATGACACTGCTTTGGCATCTTTAAAGGGGGTCTTGAGGCATTGGAATGGTTTAGTTTGTGATGGGGAGTTCTTGCACTTGCGTTGTTGTGCGCATATCTTAAATTTGATTGTTTCTGATGGTGTGAAGGATATGCACAAGTGTATTGAAGGCATTCGGAATGCCATTAAATATGTGAGATCTTCTCCATCAAGGTTTCATAAATTCAAGGAGCTTGTGGAAAAAATGAAAATTGATTCAAGGAGGCTACTAAGCATGGATTGTCCAACTCGATGGAATTCAACTTACATAATGTTAGAGAGTGCAATTAAATTTTACAGCGTTTTTGAGAGGATGGAGCAGCAAGATAATGATTATAGAAACTTCTTCTTAGATAAAAATTTGATTGGTCCCCCTAATGAAAATGATTGGAAGGATGCAAAAGATTTTGTAATCTTTTTAAAGGTGTTCTATGATATTACTTTGCAATTTTCAGGATCACTTTATGTGACCTCAAATGTTTGCTTTCAACAGATAGTTGATGTCTTTGCAGTTTTATATGAAAGTGCAAACAATCATGATTCCTTGCTTTGTGGTATGGCTAAGAGCATGTTGACTAAGTATAATAAGTATTAGGGGAACTTAGAGAAACTTAATCTTTTGCTTGTGGTAGCAGTGGTACTTGACCCAAGGTATAAAATGAAATATTTGCAGTTTGCTTTTGAGGATATGTTTCCTGAGGCTACACAACGTGAAGCTATGACAAAAAAGGTCTCAGATGTCTTATATCGTTTGTATGATCATTATTCAAGTGGGGTTGACACATCTCAGACTCAAAGTCAGAGTCAAAGTCAGACACAAGGAGCAAGTGAAAGTAGTTTGACTCAATCACTTGGATCAGATCGTAGGCCTTTAACTTTCTTAAGTTCTAGGTCTAGGGCTTCATTTCAAAGATTTCTCGCCCAAAAAGAGACTGAGATTCAAGCAGATAAGTATGCAGAGGTGGACAAGTATTTGCATGATGAGTTAGCTGAAGCACTTGATCCAAATTTTGACATTTTAACGTGGTGGAAATTGAATTCGGCTAAATATAAAGTCCTTTCATTGATTGCACGTGATGTATTGGCCATGCCTGTTTCCACTGTGTCTTCAGAATCTACATTTAGCATAGGAGGTCGTGTAATTGATGATTCTAGGAGCTCCCTATCTCCAAAGATGGTCGAGGCACTAATTTGTGCCCAAAACTGGCTATCTCCATCAACTGCAAAATTGAAGGGTGTTGACGTTGATGATTTTAACGATACAGAGCAAGCTGTGGAAGGTAATATCATTTTTTATAATTGATTATTTCTTTTAATATGATTTAACTTTTCGTTTATCTATATTTAATAATTTTTGTTTATATTGTGTTTATTGTTTTATTTTCAGAAGAATCATTGGCTTCAAATATCTCAGTTGAAGAGGAAGAGCAATGACTCAAAGTTGAAGTTATCCTTGGGGATTAAATTGTTGATTCTTGACTTGTTGTTGCACTTATCACTTGGAAGTTACTTGTCTTTGTTGAGCTGTATTTGTTGAATTGTTATTGTTGTTTGTCTTTTGAATGTTGCTGCTGAAATGTTCTTCTTAGACTTGATTTAATTTGATTTTCTGTTATTGGTTTTTTTTCTTTTAGTAGGAAATCTTGGTATTTCCAAAAGCATTCTTTTTCTTGAATTTTTTTTCTACATGACTAAGCATATTCTTATGGGGAAGATGGCGGCATCACTAATTGAGACTACATTGTATGAAGAAGGTCAAGAAAAAGTGGCAGGTTTAATACCTTGACATAGTATAGCTTTGCTTACAATAAATTTGTTTCCTCTAATTTGTTTCTTTCTTTACCATAGCAATTTTTAAGTATCAGGGTTATGAACTACAGGGGCACGCTAAAAGTAGAGGCAATCTTTCTTTGCCACTTATAAATTGCAGGGGCACGCTAAAAGTAGCTTCTTTCTCAAAACTTTAATGTGTTTTTACAGTAATTTCAGTTCTACAATTAATGATAAATTAATTATAGGAATACTTTAGGCAAATAACAAGACTGAATCTTTTTATTTCAATATGATTTTGCAGGGAAGGAATTTGAAGTGATGGAGAATATGGGAAGAATTCAAGTGCCGTTCAAATGGAAGCAGTATGAGGTAATTTTTTTCTCTCCAAATCTCCCATAAAAGTAGGACATTGTTAAGAAATATTTTCAAAGAAAAAGATCTGGGTGTTGAGTTGTGAACAAAATTTAATTTATATGGTTTAATTCTTCTAGTCTGTCATTACTTCTATGATTAATCATATTCATAATGAAATTTGCATTAAAATTTTTTGGGGTTCTAATTAATGTAACATATGCTTATTCTTGTCAATTAATAAGTTGGAAGATTGTAATAATCTTGTTGATGTGCATTCGGGACGTCCCGGTCCCATCCCGATCCCGTCCCGACTCCTTTCGGGACAGGACAACTTCCGGGACGGGACAGGACATGGGACAAATTTTGAGTCCCGATCATTTTTCGGGACGGGCCACAGGACGAGGGTGTTCCGGTCCCGTCCCGTCCCGTGAACACCCCTAATTAGAACCATGAGGGACAGACAGGATCCTCATGGCATGATATTTAATTCAGGTCATGAATCAAGAGGGACAGACATAATCCTCTTGGTCATATAAATACTTTTAATAAAAAGGATTAGAGTTTACATGCTTCACAAAGAAGATATGTCCTAAGTTGGCGCAAGATACATTGTATAATCCAAAATAAGAAGCAACATAAAAGATGGTGTCTCATACACCATAGTTACACCTCTGGTGCTTTCTCGACCGGACTCGCTCCTGTAAAAATGTTAACCACGGGGAATGAGACTTAAAAGTTCCAGTAACCAAAAATTAATATGTAATGATGTATGCGGATGTAACTAATCATGCGATTGCTAAGTGGGCACACAAAATATTTAATCGAACAATATTTTCAAACAAACCAAACAAGTATTTATTTTGCACGACTGCACCTTATATCCTCCTTTCGCCATGCTCGGACGCCAAATCACCCGGCCAAAGGTGAGTTGGACCAAGCGACACGCCACTCATTGGGTCCAATGAGGGCTTACCACGTGGTAATAATTAACCGAACAGAAATTCTCATTAACACCATACATTAAAATACCCTGACAAGTCATGCATCATTCAAATATCCAAACAAGAATATATCCGAACAATAATATCTCATCATGATAAACAAAAATAAATTTTTAACCCACTTGGCAATAATTTCAAACAAGTATATACAGTATTTATTTTCAATAATTCATAATTTTTCCCAAACAACAAAACAACACATAACCATTCACAAACACACCCATCACAACACATTAATAATGGTTACCTTGTGTCTTGAATAACAAGTTACCCTTCACAACTCCTTGTTCACCACTATCTTTGTCAATATAATCTACATAATTATTTCACAATACTATATATTAATTTTACATTAAAATAAATAACTCTAATTTAAAGAGTTAGAAAGTCTTAGATCTATAATCCATATTAATACTAATTTAAGATTTATGCCTCATTTAACTTCCCAAATTCTTTTTTAAAATTTTCGTACCCTAATAAACTATTTTTTTATCCTCAATTCACTTCTAGTATCACAATTTCATCCTTCTATATTCTAAAAATTCGTCCAAAAATAAATTAAAAATTTTAGAATTATCCTGAAGCCTCAAATCACCTTTCTGTAACCTCAAAAATACCTATTCATACTTAAATAAATATTTAATAATCATAGGTTTATCCCTACATCTCAGATTCCACATAAATTCAATCATATAGATCTAGATTTTAACTCAAAAATTCTTAAATATGAGTTTCAACCTCAAAAAAATATTATATAATATTTATTATATCCCTAAGAGTTTTAACCTATATTTTTAATTTATCATATCATCAGATTAACTATCCTATAGAAAAATCTTAATCAGAATATTTACTCTATCCTACAAAATAATCATATCACTAGAAAGCTAATATTATTTAGAAAATAACTATAAAATTAATTTTGTAATTAAATAAATTTTTAAATGCTAATCTAAACAGGAAAGTTAGAACATACCTGAAGAAAAAGAAAATAATCCTCCCTTGCAAGAAGACGCCGAGCAACGTGAGAGGAAGAGAGAAAAATAATATAAAAATGGGATTGTGGGTCCTAAAATTATATTAAAAAAAACTATAGGTTTGAATTTAATTATTCAAACATTTGGGCCATTACTTGCAATTTTCACAAATTGCATCTTGGGCCCTTAGTTGCAATTTTCACAAATTGCAATAAATAATTCCTTATGCTTCCTCCACCATGCACCTCCTCTTTTTATACATGAGGAGGTGCCTTTCATTCCCACATCTAACCGATGTGGGACTAAACCCCATCCCCTTTTTTTTTACTTTCTTTTCTTTTCTTTTTTTTTTAACTCTCACACACACATTAATAATAATTTTTTTTAAATCTTAAAATTATATCTTAACAAAATATTTCTTATATAATTTTAAAATTAAGTTTTTAATTCATAATTAAATGCCTACCCATATTATTATTTTCAAATAACCTCAAATAATATAAATTCCTATTATTATCATCATTTAAAAAAAACTTAAATTTCATAAATTTTTTTTATCTAAAAATTAGGATGTTATAATAAGGAGTGTCAGAACCAACATAACGGAAAGGATAAGTGGGTGCACCAGTGTTTTTTTTTTTTTAAAGGAAAAAAATGTAAATATAGGTGGGTAAATGGGTGTTATTGATAATTGCTTTTAAATAAAAAAAAAAAGGCAAGGAATGCACTGCACGCAATTCTGACCTCACGAAAGGGACTAAGTGCATTTTAGATTAACTTTCAACTTTAGTTAGAATCAGTCAAACTAAAGTTAGGATATAAAAAGCTCATTTTGTGTTGTTTGGATTAGGAAAAAAATTTCAATCTCAATTAGCCATAACCGAGCATTTTTTTGGAAGCCCAAAGACGTGCCCGTTTGGATAAGGAGAAAACGCGCGTTTTGGATCCAAAATCGATTTTTTCTGTCAATCTATCCAAACAGTCGAAAATGATCAAAAATCGATTCTGGGCCAAAACGCGCGTTTTTCCCGAAGCTCCCTTCGTCCGCTTTTTGCCAAAAGTTTGTCAAAAACGTTGGGGAAAATTACAAAAACAGGCCTAGAAAAAAATTACAAAGAAAGCACATAATTTAATAAAAATAAAATTAAACTCTCTCTTTTTCTTTTTTTTTTCCTTAATAAAATTTAAAGTTTATATATTTAAAAAATTAATATTTGATATTTAAAAATTAAATTATATAGTTAAAAATTAATTTTGATTAAATTATCCAAATATCTTCAATTCTGTTAAAATCAATTTTAAAAAAAACAGTATCCAAACAGATTACGTTATAACATAATCAATTATGATTAAAATCTACCACTTAATCAATTATTTTCATAATCTATTATACCCAACTGAAATCCAAACGACCCGACGTGGGTTTAGCATCAGCGTTAATGTTAGAAGTCGTTGGAAGCATTAATGATGTGTTAAATTTTTTATGCTTTCTCTCTCCTCTTATCTATCTATCCACGAGGCTGTCTGATTATTTTATCTTGCTGTGCATGGTATTTTGCTCCTCCCGTGACCTCCTGAGCTGCACCTCTAGATCTACTTCACCTTCCTCTACTTCACCTCCGGAGCTCTACATCCGGGACCTAACCTCAGTCAATCTCCACCTCGGTTGAAGCACTAAGATCTCTACATTGAAGCACCGAGATCTTCACCTTCCGATCTTGCATCCAGCATTCCCTACTTAGAAGTGGTTTCTCCACATTACAGAACAATTTGATGCAGTATTCTACTATTTAAGGACCATGATCAACAAATGCAACTCTTCATGGATGGCGAAACTAACGGATAACGAACATAGAAAAATGCAGAGCATCAGATGATGAAGAACAAGAAGAAAGCTCAAAGCACGATAGCAAGGAAGGCAAGGAATGAGACAAAAGGACAATCGACAAGGAGTAGCTCCGGCACCGGCAACCTCAGATCTGGTGATTTTGCTTAATTCTTGCAAACACCAACTAGAGCCAGCATCAGTCTTTGATAATATAACTATTGAAATTTTGGAACTTTTGATTGCTTGGAGCAGTGAAGATGAAATATTTCCTCCTATTTCAATTCATTCTTCATCCATGTACATGTCAATACCTACTTGCTTTATAGCATATCAAAGATGAGTAGCAAAGGATTTACGTGATTTACGTGTATTATCACCTCTAAAACATAAGAATACATCATAACTATATTTCAGCTTTGGCTTCTCAGGACGGCTTCTTACTTGTTGCCGCAGCTAATCATGAACATAAAGCTTGTCATTCTTGACCTTTACAAGGTAATGCTTAATGAGTACAGGCATTCCTATTTCTAAGGGAAATCATGAGCCTTTTAACAACTGTGTGACATAGGTTTTACTCTGACCCACACAGAAACAAGCTATATTAAAGCACAAATCTTTCTCAGAATTAGTTAAAAATTTAATGCTAATGTGGAGCTTTTTTTCTATATCACCTTTATAAGGAATTGTATCCAATTCATGCAGTACACCTCGCCACTCTTGCGGTGTCCTATTATATAGAAGAGAGCCAATAACTTGTGAAGTAATGGTAGTCCATCACAAGAAGTAATGATATTGGATGAAAGATGCTCAAAATAATCTATTGCACTACTACAGAATGAAGAATAAATGACAGGTCTTATTAGATTGTTATAATATTAACCGTCCAATATTTATACTTATTGAATGATTCTATTAATAACTGTTTAATATATCTACCATTCAATATATGTTTGAATATTTCAAATATTTGAAAATTCTTAAAATAAAAAAATATATTACATGATTATTATTAATAATTGTCTAATTATATCTCTTATATTGGAAGGTTAAAATGTTAACTATCCAATATACCTTTTATATCAGACCCCCACCCTCAAATCAAACATTCATTTTTTGTGTTCATTGTCTCCTCATATCTCTTCTCTTCCTCTCCCATTTCTTCACCACTGACAACCTTCACCATTGTTTTGCTGTGTTTTGAAACACCGTGAGCACTCATCTTTAGTCATCAACTTTATGGGTCTGCTCCTCTCCTCCATTAGGTGTTCATGCATCATTATGTAATTGTTGTGTTTTCTCTTCTTCTCATTTCCTTTGAATCTCTTTATCTGAAATGATTCAACCTGGATAACTTAAAAATGCTTGTTAAACTAATAATATATGATTAGATGAGAGTTATATTTAATTTTTATTTTTATCTAAATCTATATTCTTTTTTTTTTTGTATTTTTGTTTGAACAACATTCAACTAGTTTGATTGAAAATTTTTTATCATTTGATTTTTTGATTAATGGTTGAGCTGTATATGAAATTTTATAGTGATTGAAATTGTGTACGGGTTGTATATTGCGGAGATGTTATTTCTAGTACTTTATATACAAGGGTGAGTTTAGTGGTATTCTAATGAATTTAATTTATCTTGTCATTCTAAATTTTATGACATATGCTTTCAAATTGTTTTAGGAGCCACTAGATGTTGATTCGGATTATGTCGGGTGCTGTTAAAACTACAAGGTTTTACTACCTGAATTCTACTAATGTGCAGCTGGATAATAGATCAAACATGATGAAATTATTTAATTTGTTTGTTTATTTTAATTAATATTTTTATATTTTTTTCATTTTGAATTTTCAATTTCAACTTATTTTCTTTCTCATCAAGGCTATAGTGCTTTATCGCATCCAAAAAAACTTGCCTGTAGCATTAAAGTACAAGTCATATAATCTAACTTACTTTAGTTTGAAGATAATAAAGGTACTTATCATTACTAATTTTAACAATCAATACTAATTTTTTAATTAATTCAATAACATGTTAATTTAAAATCCTAAATCCCTAAAAGAAAGATAATATCTAAATTAAAACTTCAAAATAATTGTGAGTTAAAAATTTTAAAAAAAGACTACCCAGAGCAATTCTAGATAATTAATTTCTAAAATTTTTAAAAATTTTAATATTGAATTGAACTATAAGATTAAGTATATATGATTCAAATTGATAATAAAATAGATTTAATATTTTTTATAATTTTTATTTTAATGATTATGAAATAAAAATAAAAGTAAAAATTGTTAATCTGAACCATTCAGAATCTCGACGGTTCAGATTTCTTATCATGGCCGTTCCCCTGTGTTAATTGACTGACTCCCGTTCCAAACGTACAAGACTTTCTTGTGAAAAAAGAAAAGCCTTTAAAGTTTAAACGCTTTAGCTTTACTTTCCTGGGCAGCTTCGTGAATACTTTCACTAGAGCCTTCATCACATGATTCACATCCTCATTTCTCCGGAAAATTCTCATGGAGCGAGATTTAAAAGCAGCAAAAGCCTCGTATCTCTCAATCTTATTCTGATCGATGCGATAGATAAATAAGATCAATCTCTCATCGATCACCCCAGCTTGACAGGTAACTTCCCATCTAATCTCGATCTGACCCTAAACAACTAATCTGCTTTCATCTTTCTATTTGATCTGTTCCTGATCCAGTCTTTGATCGATCACTTGTTGAGTTTTAACGAAACGACGCTGTTTTAATTTCAACGGATTCTTTGGTTTTTCTTATTTTAAAATTCATCGGAGAAAGGAGAGCATATATCACCGATTCTTCTGGAAAATAATAGAGGAATCGGTGATTTCTATGACAGAGTTTTCAGTTTAACAAGGCAAAATGTAATTTGCTCTTTTCAAGTTTTGAAGTCAAGTAAAAGTAAGATGATTGAAATATGTATTTTCAAGTTTAACAAGGCAAAATGTAATTTGCTCTTTTCAGATGATTGAAATATGTATTTTGAAATTAGATTCGATTGGTTGATGATTGTATAAACCCCCCACTCTCATTTGCGGGCATAAAGGTTGAAACGGTCGCAGTCTCCGATGACAAAAGGATGGACTTTTTTCGGTACTGGTGCTGCTTCGGATGAGGATCATGATGTATGGCGTTGGGGGGAGGCAATTATAAGGTATTTAATCTTAACATTATATATTTAATATACTTTTATTCAACCACATTAAAATATAATTATTTTAATATATTAATAATATTAATAATAAAAATTTATTATAAAATAAATGATCATAGATTACACTTATGTCTTGATTTAATTAGAAATAAAAAAATATAATATATTTTTAATTAAATTTTACTTCTAATAAAATAATTACCTACTTTTCAATTAACTTTATCTTTATTAAACATCTTACAATAAATATAAAGTTATTATTAATAAAAATATTTTAAAAAAAAATAATGATTTGGTCAGATTTGGTTAGAGGCACTTTCGAAGTATTTTCTCTTAACCTTATATATTTAATATATTTTTATTCAATTACATTAAAATATAATTATTTTAATATGTTAATAACATTAATAATAAAAATTTATTATAAAATAAATAATAATAAATTATACACATATCTTGAGTTAATTAAAACAACAAGTATATTGAGTATACTTAATATATTTTGCCAAGATTTTTGTAAAAACATATTATCAAATATTTTTTATTTTTTTTTTAAAAATAAAAAATTGTTCATAAAATAAGTTTTTTAAACAAGCTCATGCATATTTTGGTTAAAAAAGAGAGAGACATATAGTTATAATAGATTGAATAATATAAAATGTTATGAAAAGATAAATTTATGATAGTTAAATATAAAAAATTAAAATCGAGTCATAATGATTGATCATCTAACATTTAAATCATAAATTTATTACAAATCATTCATTTACATGCAATAAAATTTTAAGAATGTATTTGAATTTCAGTTGATTATAATTAATTATAAAAATATTTAATTAATATAATTTATTTAATTATAATTGATTATATTATAATACAATCTGTTTTGATATTATTTTTTTAAAATAATTTTAAAAAATTAAAGATGTTTAATAATTTAATTAAAATTATTTTAACTGTACAAATTACTATAAAAAAATTGTTTTTAAAAATTAAATTAGTAATAAATTTATATCTAATATTATTAAATTTGTTAAATGTTATTTAAGAAGTAAAATATATCATTTAAATTATATATTTGATTAAAAATATAATAGCGATCCATTTAATATTTATATAATTACTTAACATACAATTATATACTAATTAATTACAAATTTAAATTATATTTTAAGGTATATTAATAACTTAATTTGTGGAAAAAATATATATAACTTGGTAAGGGAGGAGAGAGGTGGAGGTGCAGTGAGGCAGGAGCACACAGAAACACCAATGACAATAGAGAGAGGATATAAGCAAGGGGCATTCGAGAGGGGTATATTTGGTGAGTCAACATTCCGACAAACAATAAATACTGGTAATTGTAAAAATTAAAATTGATAAGCAAGTGCTGCCAACTTCAAGTAAAATGTGATTATATCGTAAATAATTGATTATGTAGAAATGGAGGTGTGGGTGTTGGTTGTGTTTTTCCCAAACCATGATTTTAGCCAAAATAATCGATTCTTTGAAATTTGAGTCACTTGAAATTGTTTAAGCCACAATAATGAGACACGTGGTTCAAATAATTAGAGTCTTATTTACACAAACATAAAGGGTGGTTTAGAGTTAATTAAGTGAAATTAACAATTCAAAATTATGTAACTCATGCTTTCCAGTTCACAAAAGTCATTACTCAAATATATATTGTTATATTTAGATACATATGAATATGAATTTAAGTCAAATCTCGTTTGGGCATTTTAAAATTTATGGATTTAGATTTACTTGTGTGTATATGAATTTAAAATACATGGATTTTAAATTTGAGATTTGAAATCTAAGATTTTAAATTAAATTTAATCCAAATACTATCTTACATAAATCTTTCATCATTTCTTCCTTATCACTTGTAACTAATAAGTTATAATAACAAGACCCATCTATATGACTAAACTTTTCCAACCTTGCTAATGGAGATATGTAGCCTGACTAGAAACAAAAAACTTGCCAGTTACCACTAAGCCGTCCATTTGTTTTTTCTCTTTTCAAACCTTTCATAGAGGTGTTATGTGTGCCAAGAGCTCCTTACAATCTTGGCCAAAGGAAAAAGAGATATCAAGGCTTTAAGAATGGCCAACCGTTAGGCACGTAGCAGTGGCATAGCATATGGCAAAAATAATCAACATATATTCACTACATCCAACAACTCAGTCCCATTCAACAACAATTCAACATCATAGCCCATTTACGTGATTGAATCATGATAAATCTTTTTCAATTAACATGCATTAGTTTTTCAGTTCTAAACTCCAGATCATTATTGAAGAGGCAAAATTCTCACTTAACAAAACTAGTTCACAAAACGAAATCAATCAAGTGGTTAGGTTATATGTCTAAATGTAAAATACATACATACATATTGCATAATACTAATGCACTATAAAAAAGATCAAACCAGAATGCCAGGCATGCATGGTAAGGTAGACGTAGTTACCTCTTCCCTAACTTATACAAGTCAATTTGTGGTCTCCACTCGCCCATGACAATGCAACAAAATTAATCTACTCAATCCGCATGGGGTTCATCAATAATAATATATTTAAAGGGACGATTAATAGAAGTTCTAATTATAATTTCTCCAATTATGTTGATCACCATTATCAGTCTCATTCCTTATTGTTTCTTCACTCAATCAATCCTCTATATTCCATTTAATTCATTTCCATGCATTAATTTACTCTAGAAATCCTCCAGTCCACCAAACAAATATTCTACATCGATTAGATGCTCTAGAATCTCCAAAAAAAAAAAAATTATAGATATTATTTAAACCAAGATTAATTCGTAAGAACCTCAAGAAATTCAAAATCCTAACTGCCTCCTCCAACAATTATCATTCAAACCTGGGTTCGAATTTAACACGAGCTTGAGGCCTCTCACAGCTAACAAGAGCCCTCCAAACACGCTACAGTCAACCAAATATAGAAATTAGGCGGGTTCTCAATTAGAACCTCCTCACAAATTTTACAAGGTAATAGGAAAAAATTTAAAGCTTTAGCGATAAGAGACAACTCTAAAGTACTCTAATCATGAATATGTAATTGTAAATCAAGAGTTAATATCCATTTTTGCCATTGAACTAATTTCGTAGGAACATTGACTGTCCTAAACTTTTTGTGTAATAGTGTCACCCTTGAAGTAATTTAATCATAATAATATTGCTTTGACTTTAAATGGGTAAACATTGATCATTAACTTTGCTAACATAATTTTATGTTAGGAGTAATATTATTATGATTTAATTACTTTAAGAGTAACATTAATATGATTTAATTATTTTAAGGAACTTAGTTTCAAGTCACAAGGTTAATGGTCAACATTTGCTCATTTAATGTCAAGGGTAATATTGCTAAGATTTATTGACTTTAAAGATGATATTGTTATAACAAGAAAGTTTAGGAGTGTTGTTGCGAAAATAGCTTAAAGGAAAAACTAGACATTAATCCTAAAATAAAACCAAAACCACTTATTTTTTTTGGGCAAAATCAAGCCAAAACCTTAGAGAGTAATAAACATATCAATGAATACATTGTTTTGAACTTATTCAATAACAATAGGATAAAATGCAATTATAGTACTTACTTTTTGAAATTTAATACTCAATCCGTTTAAATTATAAGACATTTTTTTGGCAAAATCATACATGCCAATAAATTGATTAAATGAACACATTTATACAAAAATATAAACTTTTAAAAATATATAATGTCACCTTGACTTAAATGGGTAAAATTAATCATTAATTTTGTTAGGAGTAATAAATTAACATGATTTAAACTAATTAAGTTACATTAAGATTTATTTTTTTAAGAACTTAGTTCAAGTTCAAGGTTAATGGTTACATTTGCTCATTTAATGTCAAGGGTAACAGCTAAGATTTATTGACTTTAAAGATGATATTACTATAATAAAAAAGTTTAAGAGTGTTGTTGCGAAAATAGTTCAAAGGCAAAACTAGACATTAATCCTAAAATAAGACCAAAACCACTTTTTTTTTCGGGGCAAAATCAAGCCAAAACCTTAGAAAGTAATAAACATAATAATGAATACATTGTTTTTGAACTTATTCAATAACAATAGAATAAAATTGCAATTATAGTATTTTTTTTTGAAATTTAATACTCCTTCTATTTCAAATTATAAAGCATTTTTTTAGTAAAATCATACATGTCAATAAAATTCATTAAACACACTTTACAACTTTACTTTTTTAAAATAAAAATATAAACTTTTAAAAATAATAATGTGGCCTTGACTTTAAATGGGTAAACATTGTTCATTAACTTTGCTAACTCAAATTTTATGTTAGGAGTAATATTATTGATTTAATTACGTTAAGAAACATTACTATGATTTAATTATTTTAAGGAACTTAGTTCTAAGTCACAAGGTTAATGGTCAACATTTGCTCATTTAATGTCAAGGGTAACATTGCTAAGATTTATTGACTTTAAAGATGATTTGCTATAATAGAAAAGTCTAGGAGTGTTGTTTGCAAAAATAGTTTAAAGGAAAAACTAGACATTAATCCTAAAATAAAACCAAAACCACTTTTTTTTTTTTTGGGGCAAAATCAAGCCAAAACCTTAGAGAGTAATAAACATATCAATGAATACATTGTTTTGAACTTATTCAATAACAATAGGATAAAATTGCAATTATAGTACTTACTTCTTGAAATTTAATATTCCCTCCATTCTAAATCATAAAACACTTTTTTGATAAAATCATACATATTAATAAAATTTATTAAACACACTTTACAACTTTACTTTTTTAAAATAAAAATATAAACTTTTAAAAATATTTTTTATTGAATATTTCATTTATAAAAAATATTAAAAAAAGATATATATGAGAGGTTAATATTAAAAAATATTATTAATAAAAATTTATTTTTAAAGTATTTTATATTTTAAAATGTTAAATTTTTTTTCAAAGCATTTTATAATTTGGGAGGAGCGTTAATCTGATTTTGCCCCTTAAGTGGTTCATCTGGTAGGGCTCGGTATGACGTGTTTTTGAGCTTTAGAGGCGAAGACACTAGAGCGACTTTCACCTCACATCTCTACTCTCTATCGAGCGCTGGAATTCATGTTTTCAAAGATGATGCGGTCCTTCCCAGAGGGAATCCTCTCTCAAGTGAATTGTCACGAGGAATTGAACTTTCCACAATTTCAATCATTATCTTCTCCAAAGAATATGCTGGTTCTAGATGGTGCCTTAACGAGCTCTCACAAATCATGGAGCTTCACAGGGCACAGGGTCGAGTTGTTCTGCCTGTGTTCTATGGGGTGGGTCCATCCGAAGTTCGTAATCAAATATCTGGTTTTGAAGAAGCATTTCGAGATTTAATACAACGAAGTTCACTCACAGAAGAAGAAGTGTTGAGGTGGAGAACAGCTCTCCGTGAAGTCGCGAGCATTGCAGGGTTTGTTGTGCTCAATTCCAGGTAATTTTTAAATATTTCTTTTTTTTTATTTCTCTTCAATTTTGCTAAGCCTAAACAGACACGCACAATTGATTTCTAGCTACAATTTTCTCTTTTTAATCACTTGAAATTTTATATATGAGAATTTTTTGAAGAATATCTAACAAATAAGAACGGTACGTTAGCAGAGAATAAGTCTTATATCGATACATCTAATCAATGTGCTGGAGTGGAGTTTGGACAAGCAGCTGAAAGTTTTGAAGTCAAAGCATGTGTGCATTATTAGTTGGCCAAAAATGTGTTCACTTCTTCTTCAAAAAAAAAAAAAAAAAAAAGAAGTATGGCAATTTCACAAGCACAAATGATGTTTTGTTCTGTCTTAAAATATTGCTCCGAATTTGGTCAAATTGACATGTCTGTTATTTTTATAATGCTGTAAATTATTCAAATTATGATAGTTTTATAGCCCTGCAATTGTTTGCATGTTTTTTTTTTGGGTTTAAAAATTGCACCTTGGAGGAAGGACTGATATTTAAGCAACAATTAAATTAAGGTATTGAGGATGCCATAATCTCTAACATGTTTTTAATATTGAAAAATTACTCCTTTCTGGTTTTCCCTATAAAATTTAGAGTGCATGTGGTGGTTGGTACATGGAAAAGTTATTTGGAAAATGGGAAAAAGTGAGGAAGTGTTTTTATTGTATTTGTTAGATGGCAAAGTGACTTTGTTGGAAATAAAGTTTTCCATGTTTATGGTAGAGTTTTTCCCTTTCCCTTTTCCATTTTGTATCATACTAGCCTATAGCCTCAGTTTCACCCTTTAAGGAATCCAATTTTATGCCGGTTGAAACCTTTGCCAATTGTTGGCAAACTCATATTCCTTGTAGTGACAAGAGGGGAAAACTGAGGAATTATAGAGATTTGGGTTCATAGTTAAGTGTGTGTTCATCTTCTCTATTTCTCTATTCTCATTTTCCCCACCAGTAATTTGTCAAGATCCTCTCACATTGTTGACTTGTGTAAAATGAAAATTTTCCGCTAGTAATGGTTGTTGCAGATAAGAGGAGATTGCAGTATGCTGTTTCC